TTCGTAAACAAATTCAACCATTCATTACTATACACTTATATAATTACATTCAAAACATTATAAAAGTCGATCAGAGCGTTCGTAACTAACAACTTATTACATGCCAACATACTTTATACAACAAAAATATATACTTTGTGGTTCACTTCTGATTTGATCCCCTAATGATGGTATGCTGCGTTGCTGCTCTTAAGATCGATCTTCTTACTTTTCTGTACCTACGTGTAAATCACTTACACGCTAAGTCATAGACTTAGTGAGGCATATGAATATGATGATGATGTATTCCTTATAAATATGAACATGTAATCTATCCATTCAATGATATAACATTTAGCAATAATAATGCAATTACATTTGATAATTTTCTATAAGCCCATGTACATTACTGAGAACTCAAGGTATTCGAGTAAATTGAGGTTGTGCACTATTGCTGTCACCACAGCTCGTATAAGTCCCACTGAGTGGCATATGAAATTTGTCCCGAAGGACCTGTGAATTTGTCCCGAAGGACCTATGAGTGGTCCCGAAAGACCTATGAAACCCTCGACTCTTGGCATGCCAACTATACCTATAGTTCTCACATCGTATACTATGGGCATCATTCTTATATTTCATATGTTCCTGTGCTCATGTCACTTATCATATCACATATATCATTTATCAAATCATATGAGCATATATACCTTATGCATGTATCATAATAATTATCATGTATGCATGTTCATAACTATTGTTCTATAAAAATCAACATAGGATTAGACTTATCACAAGTCTTATTCCATTGTACCACCCTTAAAATAGGCACTCACCTTGGCCTCGCTTTCGTTGTTTCAATCCTAACTCTTCGATTGTTCCTGAACTCGTTTAGGCTCGATATCTACATAGTAATTCAATGATACTTATCAGTATACTAATTAATATATTCTAACCTATCATTCCTTAGACTCAGAGAAAATCCAATTTCATCCTTTAATGAAGGTATGCATCGATGCACTACTGATGCATCGGTGCATAAAATGCATTCGATGTTGTATTATTACTGGGATGCATCGATGCATGACTTATGCATCGATGCACTAATTGCATTCGATGTTTCTATTTTAAAAGAGTGCATCGATGCATTACAAATGCATCGATACACCTTCAAATAATTTCTGGGTTTTAAACTTGATGCATCGATGCACTATGAATGTGCATCGATGCACTCTTCCCAGAATCCTCTTTTATGCCCGAAAATCCACTCTTTTCAGCTTAATACCTCATATATCATCCCCTTTCTTATTTCCTAACTTGCATACTCTTACTTAAACTAATTATTATCCATTAAATACTTCTAAAACTTAGAAATCTAATTCTCCATGTAGAATTTAAGAATCTAACCCAAATTCCAACATGTTCTAATTTGAATTCTAACACCTCATACTTCTTAGTTAGCTTGATGACAAGTCAAAAATCTTATTCAAACTTCAAAAACTCATCCATATCAAAATTTCATCTAAAAACTCATTTTCCAAATCTATCTCTAAAACACTTATCTTGTTGTCTTAATGTCATATAAGCTTTCCTTTAGCTTATATAACATCCAAACTTCAATTTCCAAGCTAAACAATCAAAGAAACGACCAAGGTTCAGATTCTTACCTTAAGCTTGGGTCTTCACGTTTGAAAGAAGAGAAGAGTGAAGAAGATAAGAAAGAAGGAAGAAGATATGAGAAAAATCTGGAAACCTTTTGTTTCCTACTCAAGCCCCACGTGGGTTATAATATAGCCTAAATTTTTTTTTTAATTATTATTCCTTGCAAATGACCATTTTGTCCTTAAATTCATTTCATATTTACTAACAATTATTTTTACTTTAATCACCAAATTCTGAATGTTTACAATTTAGTCACTAACCTGTCATTTAGGATGTTACACGGAAATCTTTGGAGATGGGGACGGATTTTACCGTAGAGAGTGAGAGATGGAGATGAGACTGAGTTGTGATTTTAGGTTTTAGGTTATGAGTTGCGATTACGGGATATACTGTGGACGGTTCAGTGTTCCGATAATTAATATTCGTGTTTGAAATTTGAAAATAAAATACGCGTAGCGATTCTAATGGCGCTTTAAAAATCGCGTTGCGATTTACGGATATGCGTTGCGATTTTACGTATTGTCGTTGCGATTTACAGATACGCATTGCGATTTACGTATTCTCGTTGCGATTTACGTATTCTCGTTGCGATTTACGGATACGCGTTGCGATTTTACGTATTGTCGTTGCGATTTATGGATACGCGTTACGATTTACGGATACGCGTTGCGATTTTACGGATACTCGTATTGATAGTCAGAATCGCGTTGCGATTTATAAGTTCGCGTTGCGATTTTCATATTCGCGTTGCGATTCTGGAAAATCGCAATACGAATATGCGAATTTGTACTATCGCATTGCGATTCTGGGAACTGATTTGCGATTCTAGAGATCGCGTTGCGATTTTTATTTCGCATTGTGATTTTGTTGGTCATTTTGGCAAATCAAAAACAAGTTGGTTAAAATCGTATATTATAAGGCATTTTTGGTCACTGAGACAATTTTCTTAATTATATATCTGCAGTTTCATTGTTCGGGTTTAAAGATTGTGTTTAGACATGGGGTTTACAATATGGGGGGTACGGTTGAATCCAAAGAGCTCTAAATGTCATACCATAGTGAAGTTGGCTTATAAAATTATGACTTAAAATAATACAACATTTTAGCACCAATTTGATATTTTATTACTAAATTGAGATAGGATAAATGTGTTAAAATTTGCATGGATGTAAATGGTTTAGGTTAATCATATGTAAACGAGTTCCAGACATTTCATAATTTAGAGGTCTTGTACGGAAGCTGTTTTTAACCTAGTGTTAGGAATAGTCTACTATCTTACCTCCTTACATTATATATGGGAATAAAGGGTAAACTAATTTTTTTTATATGTAAACGAGTTCCCAAAGTTAGAAGCTAGAAGCCAAATAGCTTAGAGAAATGGGTTGTGCATATAACTTGTTAGAAGCAATAAATTATTAGAAAACATTCCCAAAGCTAAAGAGAAAGCTAGTTCATCAGGGTTTCATTCCAAATAGCGAACTTCAACATAACATCAGAAGTAACATCTTCATTCCAAATAATATGCAATAATGCAAAGAGAAACGATTAAAAGGCCATATCAGAACATCTACATCCCTCCACGAAGCCTGAGCACAAGGTGAAGCGTAGACTCTTTCTGTATATTGTAATCAGCAAGGGTCCTGCCATCTTCCAGCTGCTTCCCTGCGAAAATCAACCTCTGTTGGTCTGGAGGAATCCCTTCCTTATCCTGGATTTTCGCCTTCACATTGTCGATCGTATCGGAGCTTTCTACCTCAAGGGTAATTGTTTTTCCGGTCAAGGTTTTAACAAAGATCTGCATGCCACCACGAAGCCTGAGCACAAGGTGAAGAGTCGATTCCTTCTGAATATTGTAATCGGCCAAGGTGCGACCATCGTCTAACTGCTTCCCGGCGAAGATCAATCGCTGCTGGTCCGGAGGGATGCCTTCCTTGTCCTGAATCTTGGCCTTGACATTGTCTATGGTGTCAGAGCTTTCCACTTCAAGAGTGATGGTCTTGCCGGTTAGGGTTTTAACGAAGATCTGCATACCACCACGGAGACGGAGGACTAGATGTAGTGTCGATTCCTTCTGAATGTTATAATCAGCGAGAGTACGGCCGTCTTCAAGTTGCTTGCCGGCGAAGATCAATCGTTGTTGGTCCGGAGGTATGCCTTCTTTGTCCTGAATCTTCGCCTTGACGTTATCGATGGTGTCCGAGCTTTCGACTTCAAGAGTTATAGTCTTGCCGGTTAAGGTTTTGACGAAGATCTGCATGCCACCGCGGAGACGGAGAACCAGATGGAGAGTCGACTCCTTCTGGATGTTATAGTCGGCGAGGGTACGACCGTCTTCAAGTTGCTTTCCGGCGAAGATCAATCGTTGTTGATCGGGAGGGATACCTTCCTTGTCTTGAATCTTGGACTTGACGTTATCGATGGTGTCGGAGCTCTCCACCTCGAGGGTGATTGTTTTGCCGGTGAGGGTCTTCACAAAGATCTGCATCTTCAACGAAGAATCAAATAAGTAAAAGCTATAACGACGTACAGAGAAGAAGGGATTTCAAGAGAACAATTGATGAACGCAACGATTCTGTGTGAATAAACCGTAGGGAGGGATTTGGTTATATAGTAGAAAAAGGATGACCTAATCTGGAGAGGAATTGAGGGTGTAGAAGCTTCTAGAAATACGGATAAAATGCAAAAAAAAATAAAAACCGGAACGAACTGAAATTCTAAGGATGCCTTACTCGTGCCAACAATTACGTGGGAGATAGGAACAAGGAAACTGAGCTGGCGTCATGCATGACGCTTAACAGGGTTAGCAACGTTCCGGTACTGTTCACAAATCATCTGGATCATTCGTTTACTTTTTGTGTTAAATTTATTAGTAAAAATTAAAAAATATTTTTAAAATTATATGATATTATTTTAGTTAATTTTTAATTATTATAAGTTATAAAATGATTATCTTCACTATTAATATATTTTAATCTTATATTTTCTTATTAAAAAATTAAATATTATTTAAATTAAACATTAATCTATTAATTAAGACATAATAAAATAGTGTCCTTCTATATTATGACTTATTCTCAACTTGTTGATTCTATAATGACTTAAATATATAAAAGGTATTCAATCTATATCTGTTTTTCAGTTTATTGTCTAACGATTATTTTATTTTTTGTTTGATCTAATATTTTATTCCGTGACTGAAAATGGATTTAATAGTGATATACCATTAAGTTTGATTGTTATTAAAAATATCATGACATATTTTTTAATATTAAAAAATAATTTATAAAAATAAGAAATTAATCAAAATAGATTAATTGAAAAATTAACCCGTTAACCCTAAGTCTGCAAAATAGAGCGAAACTTCACCAAGGAACCCTGCTTTTGAAGATCCCTGCAACAAATCCAGAACCAAAATTCAGCAAATTCCAGTCACCAAGGGAATGGTAAAATTTTTCACTCAGATTCCCTGTTTTCATCTCTCTCATCATTTTCACAGTTTCATAAACAAGATTCTCCCACAAACAACTCTCATCTTGAACTGCAACTTTCTCTAATCTCAGCGTCGATTTCCCCACATCCTCCGACTCCAACACTATCTTTCTTAACTCTAATAGGTTTGATTGAAAAACAAAAAGGAATCGGTTTAGGGTAGTAACATATTTCGCATTCCTCAATTGTAATGATAAATAAGAATGACTAGGATTCCTTGCAAATCTTCATATTACCCAGCAAGGAAAAAGAGTGAAGGGGAAGAGAGGGAAATCGATTTAAGTTTAACGAGTAAAAAGTTAAAGGGGGCTGGCGTCGGCAAATGGGTTTTTGGGAGTGAAATTGGTTTGATGGAAAAGAGGGAGAAAGAGTGAAGGAGGGAAAAAGAGAGGCAGAGAAAAACTTAAGGTTGACGGGAAGGAGGGAAAATTAAAAGAAAGGGAGTGAAATTGGTTTGATGGAAAAGAGTAGGGGTGTTCATCCGGTTAAAATGGTGGTCGACCGAATCGAATTAATCATAATCGAATTAATTGAAAATTATTTTTCTTTAACCATTAATCGAATCGAATTTTTTTATGAAAAAATTAACTGAACCGAACAAATTTCGGTTAATTTTCGAATTAACCGAAATTTTTTAAAATTTTTGAATTTAAAATTTTTTTAATTAAAAAACAGTTTACAATATCTAATTAATTTGATTCAAACATTATATTAAAATAAGATATTTGTATCTATCAATTTAATTCAAAAATAACCAACAATATTGCACTTCTACCAAATAAATCAGAACAAAGTGCAGAAATACAGAACTGAAAGCATAATTCAGTATACAAACAGTTTACACTTTAAATGTTGGTGCATGAAGAAGGTTGTGCTAACTACTAAGTTGTTTGCTGATGCTGTCATACCAACCAAGATGTTCTCTATCAAGTGCAGAATAATTCATATCTTAAGTGAACATATTACCTGCACAGTGCACAATATAAAAATAAAGAGATGCAAAATTCAGTTCTAACTATCAAAAACAATAAAAACAATCCAAGGTATAAACATCAAATATATATCTATTAAGTATCAACCAATGCTAAAATTATAAGTGCTAAGCTAACTCAATCTAATGTAATACAATCTTATTTCAGGTTGATGAAGCTATTATTAAGGTAGTAGGCCCAAAAGTTTATTTCATGTATTGTTTGTCTGTTGAACGAGGTGTTGCAATAAAAAATGTAATACAATCTTATTCAGTAAACATCATTCATCACTTAATCAGATATGTGCTAACTAATAATTAATATGGCTAATGAAATTAAAATGAATGTAAGGGAAGAAATTACCACAAAAAACAGTATTCAAAATACTCCTTTTGCACCAATTGAATCCTCCCAAAAAGTTTCCATTTGAATTATCTCTACAAGAAAAAGATATTATTTTAAATCTAAAAATACAGTATAAAAAACCATATATATATAAATTAAAAAATACATTGTAATAATGCAATTTACAATTAATGCATACCTTTCAACTCATACTCACAGTGCTGCAGTGCAGAATCCTATGAGCTCATGAATTGAGGGTAGGTTGTAATGCATTCCAAGATAAATCTAAAAGTTAAAATGATTAAATCAATTAATGTTGTGTCAATTTTCCTCAAAGTAAATTCACTTATTAAATTAAAATTAATTAATAAAGAATCAACATACCATTATCAATCTTGTCAAGCTCTTGAATTTGTTCTTCAAACTTCTTGATCTCCTCTTTGGTTGATGACTTTTTAATATAGTCTTGAGTACACACAAGAGCTTGTACTATTTTAGGAGTTAAAGAACTCCTAAATTGATCAAGCACACGTCTACCAGTACTAAATGCAGACTTTGAAGCGACGGTAGAAAGCGGTATAGCTAATACATCTTTGGCCATATTTGACAGAACTAGAAATCTAGGGCTATTGACTTTCCACCATGACAAGATATCAAATTCATCATCATAATTCTCAACAGCCTCCCCTAGATATTTATCTAATTCAGATGTTTGATCCTCACCACCAATTTCAATCACACGCCTTTTATACAAATCTTTCATGCGTCTTTTCACTTTTTGTTGCGGTTCAGAAATTCTCACATTTAAATGGTTTCCATCACTAGAGACTCGAGGCTTATACTCATCATACAATTCATTCAAAGTCTCTTTCAGCTTTTGCATCACTTCAAAACTTTTTTCCGAATCATACATCTCACTAAGTGCAAATTCAAGATAACTTAATTTCTGCCTAGGATCTAAAACACAGCCAACAAAAACAAGCATATTCATATTCTCAATATCACCCCAATATTTCTCAAATTTATCTTTCATCCTCATGGCCATAACACTAAATTCAACATCAGCACTTAATTGAACATCCCTTAAAAGTATGCAAATTTCAATAAGTTCATCAAAAAAATTATTAGATGTGACATATGAAGTACCTGAAACTCGCAAAGTGACTTCATAAAAATGTTCCAAGAAATCCCTCAAGTTTCTAACAAAATTCCAATCATTTACAGTTGGCCAGCCCTCTCCTAACTCAAGTTCAGCCCTAAAATTTGTATCTTGCTCCTCAAATCTCTCAAAAGCTCTCTCAAATTTTTCAGCAGTGTCTAACATTAAATATATATAGAGTTCCACCTAGTACAAACATCAAGACATAACATTTTTTTGCTCTCAATTTTTTCCATCTCAACACACTCCATGAACTTTTTCAATCTAACTGGAGATTGTCTCACATATTTCACAGCCCCCCTAACACGTGCAACAGATTTGTTCATTTCCTTTAAACCTTCAACAACAATCAAATTCACAATATGTGCAATACATCTTATATGAAGATATTTACCATTTGCAATGCAACCCCCTCAAGGACTAAATCTCTTTCTTAAATAACCAATAGCAACATCATTCGAAGTTGCATTGTCAACGGTGACAGTGAACAACTTATTAATTCCCCAATCTAATAAGCATTTTTCAATCATCAGCCCAATTGCATCTCCTTTATGACTAGAAATTGGATAAAAACTTATGATTTTCTTATTCAAGTTCCAATCGTTATTAATAAAGTGCACAGTGAGACACATATAATTAACTCTTTGCATAGAGGTCCACGTATCAGTAGTTAAACAAACTCTAGAACATGAACTTCTTAAATATTGTTTCAGCTTAGTCCTTTCATCCAAGTACAACTAATAAATATCTCTAGTTATAGTCAATCTTGAAGGAATACGAAACTTGGGGCATGCTACAGACATAAATTTTCTAAATCCTTCACTCTCAACAAACTTGAAAGGCAATTCATCAGTCACAATCATTTGGGTTAAAACCTTTCTAGTTGTTTCTTGATCAAATTTCCAAGTTGTGAGATGTCCTACTTCTCCTCGAATATCCTTACTAGGTAACACTAAATTGCTTTGATTAGTGTCAATGTTGTTAGGATTTTTCTTACATTGTTTCATGTGATATATTAATGACCCAGTTCCATTTTTTTTCCCATCACAACAAAATTCTTTCTCACAATGATTGCATCTACCCTTGCCTTTACCCTCACTATTTAAAAACTTAGTAAAGTGAGTCCATACTTCTGACCTTAAAGGAATAGCTTTCCGTTTACTTGCAGTCCCTCTTGTGTTGTTGATTTGACTTGAAGCTTCAGTCGTTGAATTTGTAGAATTTGATAAAGGGGGTGAAACACTTCCCTTAGCAGATGCTGCCATATTGGATATCTACAGCAAAATATGAGAAGTAAAAAAAAAGTAATAAATAATCACATTAAGATAACATAACTCAAAATAAATCAGAAAGCATAACTAAATACCATTTTTTATTACAAAAGAATAAAAATCAGAGAGAGCACAGTGATTGCAGAATGTGTTATCTGCAACAAAAGATTGTTGTTCAAGTTTTAACCCTCAATCGCAAATCTAAGCCCATGCTTTTAATGCATCTGTCGTTGTTCTCTGAACACTTAATTGCTCCATGTGTATGTGCGTTTACGTGTCTTCCTACTCTCGATTACCATTAATGATAATGATTTCCATATAATACGTTGTTTTGAACATTCAAACCAATTTTCTCTAGGAAATGCATATGCAGAATAAAAGTTTAAATATGTCAACATTTTGTGCAATTTCCAATATAAGAAGAAAATATGTGTAAAACAAATAGAAATACATGGATAGAAAACTAATGAAACTTTTGAACAAAAAGCATTATGGAACATATAAAAATATGTTTAGTAAAGAATGAACTTGAAACTAAAGACACTTAGAAACGGGAACAAGCAGACATCAAGAGAGTCATTCCTTCAGATTTCCTAACACGTTTCATTATATAGATATTAAGAGGCTGTAATTCATATAGAAACTGTCTAGAAAGTCATTTTCCCACTACTGCATCAACTCTCAAATAATGTTAAACACCTATAGTAGACCAGATTCATTACCACCGGTGACTTCTATTCGTTACTGTTTTTTCTTCTCAAATTCTGGTGTCACCTAAAGGTTGTAGAAAAAGGTCCCAATAATCCAACTAATTTCATATAATTACCAGCAACGGTAAACTGTATCATGCTTTTGTTTTATTAGGAAAAAACAAACTGCGTGTCAGGATTCAAGCAAAGTTTCAGAAGACTTTATTCAGGTGGTTGTTAAGCAAATGTAATATATATGAAGAAACTTTAAATTGCAGAAGTAGAACTTTTCTTTAACAAGTTTTTATCTGTGCCTACACTCGTAAATTGTAACAACTAGGAGCTAAACACGACAATACACAAAAGGTTTTTTTTTTCAAAAATAAAAAATAAAAAATTAGGGGACGGGTTATCCGGGGTTTGAACCAGCACTGAATGTCAATTAAAGATAATGTTATTGAAACATACATACACAACCTTACAGAGCAGCAACCCAGGAAAATCTAAATACTTGAAACTAATAAAACAAGGAAAGCACAATCATGAAATACCAAATACCTTAAAAACCCAGAACAAGAAGGCTACCAAACAGAACCGAAACATTAAACAAATAAAAGAAAAGAGAAAAATCCCAAACACAGAAATGATATCAAATCACAAACCCTAAATCAAACAAATGATTAAGTTTTTTAGTTTTTTAGGGGAGAGGTAAACTAATCAAAGAGAAAATCTATAAATTTTAAGTTAGAAAGCTAACCTGAATCGAAATTAGAGAGACTGAGAGAGAGATAGAGAGAGAATGAATGAGGGTTTGATGAAAGGCGAAAGCTCGGGTGGGAGTGAGGAACTGAGAATCGTGAGATGAGATTGGTAAAAGTTTACATTTAGTTTTTAGGTTATTTTATTTTATTTAGTTTTAAAATTTAAATGAGTTTTAAAATTTAAATGGGCAGTGGGCTGTTGTATGAGTCTGATGGGCTGTGGCCTGTGGCTGAGTTATATTATATATATATATATATTATATATATATGTATTTAATTCGGTTAATTCGGTTAATTAACCGATTTCAAACCTAATTAACCGTTAACCGAATTCTAAAAATTTTCTTAACCGTTAACCGACCGAATTAATTCGGTTGCCGACCGAATTAACCGAACTAATTCGGTTCAGTCGGTTAACCGAATTAGTTCGAAAATTTGAACACCCCTAGAAAAGAGGGGAAGAGAGGGAAATTGATTAATGGGAAATTATTTCTTATTTTCATAAATCAATTTTTAGTATTAAAAAAATATGTCACATACTATTTTTAGTGGGTTAATAGGTAAATTTAATGGTCCGTCAAAGTTGGATCTATTTTTAATCATGAAATGAAACGTTAGACATCAAACTATAACGAAATAAACGTTTGACATTAAACTGAAAAAACGGGTATAGATAGATCACTTTTGTATATTTAAGCCTTCTATAATCATTACCCTGTATGAATTTTCCAAGCGATTCCTCGGAGACCAAATACAGTTGCAAATCCCATTTATACACTCCATCACCTATTTTTAATGAGCAAACATGGAAGTGTCTATAATCCCTCTGCTTGTAGAACTTCATCATCATTCATCAAGATGTCTATGTACTACACTAATTCAAAGCTCAAAATACATTAGTCTTGCAATAAACCAGTCCTAAGCAAATGCAAAAATATTGAAGCAAAAAAACAAATAATCAAAAGCTGCAGAGTTTAAATTCAGAAAGCTAGCTATCGACTCTTCATGACCCGAAGAACAACAAGAACTTAGGGTGCGTTTGGTTCACGGAATGTAAGATTACTAGTGGGAATATAAGATTAACAGGAAATATGATTACTGGGAATGTTGTATTTTGTGTTTGGTTGGCTTAGCAGGGATGTAAGATTATCGTGTTTGGTTAAAGGAATAAAGGATTATTGGAATGTATATTTGACCAAATTGTCCTTATTTTATATTTTTTTAACAAGTTGGAAAATATTTATATATTTTCTTTAAAAAAATTTAAATTCATAAAATTTATATAATTTTTATACAAAATTGAAAATATAAAAAGGTTTAATGAAAGGGTAAAATTTTATTTTAATCTCTGAACTTCATATAAAATTTTAAATATAGACCTTTTTTGTAAATCTAAAATAGTTTAAGGATAAATTTGTAATTTAAGCTTCGTAGAATTTTTATTATTCAATGACAGAAGAATGATATTTTTGAAAGAAAGAAAAATTAAGGGCATTTTAGTCCAAAACACCGGTAATCCAACAATACCTAAGGAAATGGAGGTAATGACATTACCGGTAATATACCCAAAAAAGTCTACTATTGGTAATAAAACATTACCGGAAATGAGATTCCCGGCCAACCAAACATGGGAATATGGGACCCATGAGAATCCCACATTCCTTGAACCAAACACCCCCTTAGAGAAAGGCATTGCATCCAACCTCTAGGACAAAAGCACATCACAATGACAACCATGGAAGAGTAGCGTCGCATCTAGAAAAATTGTTTTAGAGTAAACACACATATATTAACAACATAAAAATGTTAAATGGAGTAAGTACAAATATAATTTCAGGCTGGACACTATCCGTAAAATAAGTAATTAATCAAAAAAAAAACTTAGATTTCAGGAAGAGCACGAAATTTTTTAGAGTGAACACCATCAGTAACTAATCTAAAAAAATTCGGATTTCAGAGAGATAACATGTCCACCCTCACTAAGTTGTAACTCCACAACTATGGAAAAACACTGTAGCAAAGCAACGCTTTGATGGCCAAACCGAAGGAGGATAATGAACAAGATTCGACCAAGAACCTGCAAGAAACATCCATGCAGGACGTAACATTCATCTAACCTAGTGCAAATAGCCAAGAAAGTCCCAATGAAGGAGGGGTAACCAGAATATCATATGCTGCTGCGGTCGCTAATACTATTACTAATGGTTGCTACCAGAAAAACGAGATGACAAAAACACAAAGAGAGCAAAATAATAACGAAGACGAAAATGAGAACAGAGTCGCGTTTTGCTCCTCTACAGGATCTTGAAAACAAGCAACAAGCCCTAAGGAAAAGGTCTCCCAAGGAAACTAATCAAAGATATATTAAGAAGTCGGACATAGGAAACTCTAGTGGATTAGAGAAGGTTGGAATCAGTAAAATAAGCCAAAAAAGGAAAGGGAAACAACCCTTTTCTCAAAATAAGCCGAGATGACCAGCCTTATACACAGCTACCGTTTCTACTGAAGGTATCAATGTAGAAAACCTTTTTGATGTTCCCATTGATACAACCATACCGATGGAGAGGATCACAAGTCCTAGGCCTATGGTAGGAGCGATTTTCTACGTTATAGCGAAAGTGGGTACTGAAATCTCCAAACACAATCCTTGCCTTAATATAGAAAATCATACTGTGATTTCTATTAGAGAAAGGATAAAGAATAAAGAGACCAATAAGAGCATAGAAAAGATGGGGGTGGAGAAAACCATCAAATGAAGAAGCCGATAGATCATAAAATACATGATAACCCTACTTCAAAAGATTGAATACAAACCTTATCATCCCAAGTGGAGATACTATCCATTTGGATGGAAATAACACAAGAGGAAACAAGGATCCATCATTATCCGAGAATACGATGAATATGGAAGAGACCATTGATATAGTTTCGAATGATGATGCTACAAGTGGGGGAGAGACAAATAGTTTATTTTATTATGACTATTATCTTGTTTGGAATACCAACGGAGAGACAAGTCTGAAATCAGGAAGAACTACATTGGTATCAACGTGCTCATTATAAATGGATTCATCAAGAGACAATCTTTGATATGGCCTCCTTAAAGCCCATGGGATGGATGTCTTACGCGCGTTGTTTTACCAAAAAAAAAAAAAATTGGGACCTCGTCGGTGGAAACGTTTGTCAACTGATCAAACAAATCAACAAAACACTGATTGTCCTTATCCCGAAAATCAACAACCCCTCGCTCATATCCCATTTTAGCATATTAGCCTCTGCCAAGTTACCTACAAAATCCTCACAAAAGTTATTATCAACCGATTGAAACTGTTGTTAAATGAGCTCATATCCAACAACCAGACAAGTTTTATTCCCGGAAGATCTATAACGGAAAACATTGTTCTTGTCCAAGAAACCATCAATTCAATACACCACAAAAATGGAATGAGAGGTTGGATGACTATCAAAATAGACTTGGAAAAAGCCTATGATCGAATAGAATGAGATATCATCGAAGACATACTCAAAGATTATGATATACTTG